CTGATGGAGCTGGCACCCCAACAGTCCTGCACCCCAACAGCCCTGCTCCCCAACAGACCTGCTCCTTAACAGACCTGTACCCCAACAGCCCTGCTCCCCAACAGCCCTGCTCCTTAATAGCCCTGCGCCCCAACAGACCTGCTCCTTAACAGACCTGTACCCCAACAGCCCTGCTCCCCAACAGCCCTGCTCCTTAATAGCCCTGCACCCCAACAGCCCTGCTCCTCAACAGCTCTGAGCCCCAACAGCCCTGCGCCCCAACAGCTCTGCTCCTTAACAGACCTGTACCCCAACAGTCCTGCTCCTTAACAGCCCTGCGCCCCAACAGCCCTCCTCCCCAACAGCTCTGTGCCCCAACAGCCCTGCTCCTTAAAAGACCAGTACCCCAACAGCCCTGCGCCCCAACAGCCCTCCTCCCCAACAGCTCTGTGCCCCAACAGCCCTGCTCCTTAAAAGACCTGTACCCCAACAGTCCTGCTCCTTAATAGCCCTGTACCCCAACAGCCCTGCACCCCAACAGCCCTCTGCCCCAACAGCCCTGCTCCTTAAAAGACCAGTACCCCAACAGCCCTGCGCCCCAACAGCCCTGCTCCTCAACAGCCCTGTGCCCCAGCCCCAATATCCCTGCACCCCAATATCCCTGCGCCCAAAAATCCCTGTGCCCCAACAGCCCTGCGCCCCAACAGCCCTGCTCCTCAACAGCCCTGCACCCCAACCCCACCAGCCTTGCTCCCCAGCCCTGCCTGGTCCTGCACCCCAACAGCCCTGCTCCCCAACTCTGCCAAGTCCTGCTCCCCAAACCCACCAGCCCTGCTCCCCAACCTCACCACTTCTACTCTCCAACCCCATCTGGTCCTGTTCCCCAACCCCACCAGCCCGGCTCCCCAACCCTGCCTGGTCCTGCTCCCCAATCCCACCCACGTCTCTCCCCAGTCCTACCAGCCCTGCTCCCCAATCCCGCCTGGTCCTGCTCCCCGCCAACCCCTGTTTCCCAGCCTCACCCAGTCCCACTCCCCAATCCCACCCGTGCTACTCCCCAATCTCACCATCCCTGCTCTCACCAGCCCCCACGGCCCTGTGCCCCAACACTGCCTGCTCCTGCTCCCCAATCCCACCTGGTTCTGCTCCCCAATCCCACCTGGTTCTGCTCCCCACCAGCCCCGCACCCCAGCCCTGCCTGGTCCTGTGCCCCCCCACCAGCCCTGCTC